TGATGGTCTTTGTCACACTACTATATGGCTATGATGCTCTCTATAGCTTCTAGGACCAGTATCGGCTAGCCCTGAATGGTTTCCTGCAATGTTGATTGTGGCCAAGACAGGCAAGCAGCAAGATCGTGTCATGGTTCACGTTCTGCAACGACGCTCCCGAAAACCCCAACATCAACCTATGGTCCTAGGCATATGTTCACGATGATATGAATAGCAAGGAACGTGAAGGAGCTCCAGAGGCTCGATCATGCATTGAGTGATAGAGAGAGAGAGAGAGAGAGAGAGTCCACGTTGTGTTGAATGGGTTGCTATGATGTATCCACGTTATGCCACCTCACCGCATTCCATCGTTTCTCTGCCAAAACTCAAACATAAACTCGTCCCAGGCGCTGAGAACTCGTCGTCATTAACACCACCCGTTTCGTATGAGTCTGGGTGTCTTGTTCTACCCAGTACCCTCAGAAAGATCACAGCATCATGGTTTGAAATATCACGGCCCATGACATATATTGCCTCCTCCATTCTAGGCGTCTGCGCAACGAAATCCTTTCTAGACACATCCTATCATCTGCAGCATCTGACCTTTATGAAGAAGGTCGCATCGCGGCCCAAGATCAAATCTTGTTGTGCTCTGGGCAGGTGACAAAAAGGTTTCTACTACTCAAAAGGTCATGAACCACAACTCTCCGGAGGCTTGTCATGATGCCTAACCCCTCGTCCCCGCGGCCGCTTCCGTTCGCCAAAAGTTCCCACGCCTTGGCAGGTTGCAGTAACTACGGGGCCTACAGATTCACATTGCTTTGCCAGGGTGTGCCAAGTCAAGGCGCTCGTCACGATAGCATCAGGCAACCGGAGCAAGGGTATTACTAATTGTCGTCTGTTCTCATTAAAAGAACCGTCACAGGACGGATCCTTTGGTTGTTGTTGTGTGTGTGGTCTTGGTATGGTACAGCATCATCACCCAATGCCCGGCCTACTTCCCCTTTCCTGTCCTATCCATGTCCTTTCCTCCTCCCCTCTCTCTCAAAGGCATAGCAAAAAAAAGGGACGCCAAAACTTTTTGTTGTTCATGCTTCCCCCCTTTCCCCTGTCCCATTCTCCCAGAGTTACCCCTTCCCACTTTGCCAAATATACAGGTTCTCTGCGTCACTACTCAACCCGAGGGCTGAGTTGTAAAGAGAGAAGCGTCGTTGCGCGCCATGGCTGTCCACAAAAAATACGGACATATGCCACGAGCGCACCAGATGCAAATGCTAGAAACGCGTACGGCATAACAAAAACATAAGAAATATTGGTGTACAGGAAACGGTGTGAGAAATCCACGCCCTTGCCCTGTGAACTCCTTGCAAAAGAAAAGAAGTGGGATGTAACTTTTCTCTTCCCTTTCTCGTCGGTATCGTTCCGATAGTCGTGAGAGCACTAGTGTCATGGTAAGACTGATAATGAGGATGTTGGTGTGAGGGTGATGTGTGTCGTAGTTGATTGGAGGTGGTTGACCTCCATCATCGGCATAAGGTTGTAATGGAGCAAGTATTTGCTTCGTGTTCGTCGGCATTGTCAGTCGGTAGCCGCGATGAGGCTCTCGAAGGTATAAAGCATCTCAGCCGCCGCCGACCACGTTCCGAGCTTAGTGAGGGTCAGATTTAAGCAGTGGCCTGGGAAGCTCCACGGCCACGGACGCTGCCGCGGCCACGAGCCTGGCCTCCGGTGAAGTTTCCACGGGCGTTGCCCTGGCTGCCGGAGCGGTTGCCCTCGAAGCCACCACGGCCACGGCCGCTGGTGGCGTTGCCGCGACCACCTGCAGAGTAGTTGGCGCCACCGTAGGCGGTAGCCTTGGGGCGGCGGGGCTCGACAACGATGTTCTCGCCGTTGACGATGTGGGGGTTGGCAGCAGCGGCAGCCTGGTAGCCGGCAGGGGTGGCGAACTCCACGAAGGCGCAGTTCTGGTTGTTCGTTAGTAACAAGCTTTCGCCGACAAGATGCAACGATTTTATACACACCTTCTGACGGTTGATGTCGAAGTAAGTCAGCTCACCGTGGTTGTTCAAGGCCGCACGCAGGTCCTCCGCCTTGACCTTGTCGGTGACGTACTTGACGTAACCCAACGTACCGTTGTCGGCGGGAGCCTGGGAGATGGACTGAGGGCGGTTCTGGCGCTTGGAGTCGGCGCCGACGGACTGCCACTCGGCAGAGGGAGAGGACTCCTTCGCGGCGGGCGCCTCGGGCTCCTTAGCGGCGGGGGCAGCGGCGGGCTCCTTCGTGGCGGGGGCGGCGGCAGCAGCAGGAGCAGGGGCGGGAGCCTTGGCCTGAGCAGGAGCAGGAGGAGTGGCAGTCTTGGGGAGAGGAACGGCGGCCTTCGGCCCGACGGCAGCAGCGGCACGGCTGGCCCAAGACATGGGCTTCATGGGGACGGGAGCGGGAGCGGGAGCAGGCTTCTCGGCCTCAGCAGCGGGCGGCTTGCTGGGCGCCGCGACAGGGGTAGGTGAGGGGTCGGCGGGCTTCTCGGGCATCTTGATATCCTCCTCAGCAATCTCCTTCGCGGTGACCTCAGGGTCGACGGTGGGCTCCTCGACCTTGGTCTCGGGGGCCTTGACAGGCTCGGGGGCAGGGGCCTCGACATCGCCGTTGGAGGAAGCGGCATCCTGGGGAACCGCGACCTCCTCCAGTCTCTTGTCGACGACGCTGGGGTCAATGGCGGGAGCGGGAGCCTCCTCAGGGGTCTGCTCGACGACGGGCTCCTCAGGCTTAGCAGCCTCGACAACCTCCTCAGCCGCGGCCTGCTCCTCGGGCTGGGCCTCGGCCTCAGCGACGGCCTCCTCCTCGTCCTCGTCGTTGATGTACCTCAGGATGTCGTTGACGACGAAGTAGCCGGACGGTTGAGGGGCAAGGACGAAGGTCTGAACAAACTTCTTGGGCTCCGCGGACTTGATGGAGCTCTCACCGATGACCTGGATGACGATGTTGTCGAAGGAGGCTTGGGAGTCGACGTTCGTGATTCGGACCTTGCTGTTCTGGAAGTCGAGGGACTTGATTCTCTCCTGGATAGCCTGTGGAAGAAAGTCAGTAGCCGATCATCACGTGGTGGGCGTGGGATAAGTGACGTACTTGTCTGCCGACGGAAACATTCGCGACCTCAGCCTCCATTCCGTAAACGAATTGGGAGCGCTTTCCATAGAACAGCTGCAAGTGAAAAGAGTTAGCATTGCGGTTCCGTCGCAAGCGCGGTTGATGGAGTGCCTACGTGAAGCTTATCCGGGTTCTTGCTCAGAGTGGTGTAGTACTGCTCTACGAAGTACCAGCCAACCTCATCCTTGCTAAGGTTGTTGTTGTTACCGGCCGATGCGGCGGCATCGTTCGTAGCGGTGGGGCCTGGAGATGTTTGTTCGACAGCGTCCTTGAACTGGTCCGGATAGGTGTAGTTACCGTTGGTTGCCATGATTGCTTTATGTGTGTGTGAATCTAGTTTTGACGGCGCAATCGGACCGGAGGAGAGGTGGTCGACGGAGATTATGGTGGGAGGACAGCAGGCGCGAGGGCGAGGCTCGAAGGTTCTGCGGGGCTGCTCGCTTGTTTGCGGGGAGGTCGTTCGCAACGGAATGGCGGATAAGAAAAGACCTGTTTGTTGGTTGACGAGATGTTAGATGTGTGCGGATGGACGGCGCCAATGGTAGGAAGAGGAGATGACGATGGCTCGACAGGAAGGAGCTGAGGGGGGCCAGAGAGGTGGTGGGATAGTGGTGTTCGGCGTACCTCTAATGCGACGGGTCGTAAAGGAAACGCTCAGAACTGACTCGAAGAGAGGTGATGACGGAAACGAGGAGGCCCGGAAAAAGGGTTTTGACGATGGTGCGAGGGGCGGGCTGGAGCGAAGAATCGAGACGCGTGACGGACAGGAAAGCGAAGAGCGGAGATAACGTAGATGGGCGACGTGTGGATGGATGATGGGTAGGAGGGAAGAGGGAAGAAAAAATGAATGTGTACCGTTCGGGACAACCTGGGATAAAACCTAGTTCAGAGAGTGGGTTTTTCGTGTGTGTCTCTGTTTTGAGGTGGGAAATATCTCTCGTCGTCGGGGAGGGTGAGGGGCGACTTAAAGCGGAGTCGTGGTGGAAGAAGTTGCCGTTGAGGTGGAAAGTGGAGGTTTTATATTTTGCTTCGTTTGCGAAGTGTCGTGAGGAAGGAACAGCTTTTTTTGGTGGCCTTCCGACTGGACCAGGCGCAACAGGTAGAGATCTCTTGAGTTGGTTGGCGCAGGGCAAGCCGCAGGCAAGAAAAAAAAAACACACGCACACACAATTGCAGGCAGATCACGGCGTGCCCTGTGCTCTCAGGGCCACCGGCGTGGACCGGCCTAGTCTGCCTTTAGCACCGCGGCACCTCACCTCAGGGCCTGCACCGGTTTGCCTTGGAGCTGGATGGCCCGTCCAAGTGGGGCTGACGTGCACTGATCCCGATACTTTGGGAAGCTTGCTGGCTACCTGGACACCAGGCAACATTTTGCTGCTGCATCATGTAGTCGGTCGTCCATCGAGGTAGCGGGTTGGAAGAAACCTTAGATAAGCAGCGTAGCACGCAAACCGAGCTCTTGGCTGAGCTCCCCAGCTTCGCCAGGAAGTATGCCATCATCATCCAAAAGCAGCCGACAACTGCCATTGAGCCATGTCTTGGCCGTCTACATGGCTGCAACTTCGCAATCCGCATCTTGGCTTTCTTCTCCCTGCACGTCACTCCTTTTCTGCCATCCTCTGCTGCCTACCAGCTCGCCTCGCTGCTGGACACTCAGCTGCTGGGGTGTTGTTACAAGGTACCGAGGTAAGGCAGGGAGACGGGGCTAAGCAGCAAGTCAGACGCCAAAGCGGACTTCATCCTTTGTTCTAATTACATCCTCCTGCGACACGCTGCCTTCATCTTCCAAAGTGTTTGTCTATGCCTATGCAATCGTAGTAATACAATGGTGTTTTCTTTCTTGATTCCACTCCAAGCTTGACTCTACCCACATTTTAATCGGTCCATCCAAAAACCTCACTCACGGCTAGGGTGTTGGACCTGACACCGATAAGCGTGATGACGAGCGCAACGAGATCAATGATGAGAAGAAGTGTTGACGCCATCATGAAGCGAGGGCTGAACACTCTGTACAGCATGAGATGTCTCCTGAGCCAGCCGGCCCACATCATTGTCGCCAGAGACTCGACCGCGAAGTAGGCAATGAAGATACCCAGAGCCCGGCTGACGCTCTCAAGGATGCCCTTCCTCTTGGGACCGACCTTCCAGAGCACGATGAGAGGAACAGCGACGACAGCGATGATCTGGCCGCCGAAAGTGTTCAGGGCGACGATGATAGGGGACCAGGGGTATCGGATAGAGAACAGTGGAATGAAAGCGCTGTCCCACTGGATGCTGCTGAGGGCAGCCTGGTGACCCGTCCTGAAGAAGCCGTAGTTGCCGAGGACGCCCAACATGACGGGGCCAATGGCCTCCGTCGTAAGGTTGTTCAGGTCGAGGATCTCAACGAGAGCCATGATTTGCCAGAACAATAGTGCCAGAGCACCACCTCCCATGGGCTTGGAGAGTAGGATGCAGGCCCCTACGATGTTCATAGGGAGGAGAAGGTATCTGGCACCGTTGGTGTTGCCGTAGCCGAGGACCGTGATCTGAGTGTTGCCGTTCTTGCCAGGCGTCGTGAGAATGGAAACCAAGGGCGGTGCCCACACAAACGCAGTGGTTCCAGCGACAAACACCAAAGCGAGAATGACTTGGGCGAGGTACACTCCTGCCGTCTTGATAGCCTGAGCAGGCAAGCCGGGGATCCATTCGTTGTTGTCAGCGGCATCGAGTACCCAGTAGGCAGCCGACATGAACAGGCCGATGCGGTAGACGTAACCAATCCAAGCAGGCGCAAGTCCCTCCCAAGACCTAGAGGGTAGGAGAAATGACTTGATGATGGAGGGCAGGATGAGAGCAACAGCAAAGGGGATAACCAACTGCCAAGTGGCCGAGGTTGACGACGTCGCCGAGGCGTAGTACGTAGAAGTGCAGTACGGCATCTGCTCCTCTCGGCAAAGCTTCGAGAAGGACGCGACTCTGCCCAGGACGACGAAAACAACAGAGTGGTAGATTGCCATCGTGCGCTCCCTCATGGTAGGCACCGAGAACGCGGCCATAACGTTCGCCACGCCAAAGGTGGTGATGAAGAAGAGAAGGATTGAGTCTTCCCAAATGGTGTAAGAGTTCGAGGCAAAGCCAATCGACTGGCTGACAGTGAAGGTCGCCGCAAGCCAGCCCCAGACATTGTTAGGCATGAGGTTCAAGACGGTCTTGCCAAGGCCTGACAGCGAGAAGAGGACACCGATGGCACTTGTGAAAGCAGCACCTGCGATGGCGTAGATGAGGTCGTCGGGCGTGGTGAAGATGGAGTAGACAGTTCCAGCTAGGGCACCGGGAACGGCGCCGAGAATGGCAGTGAGGACGATTTTCTTGTGGGCAGTCTTGTACGATGCGGCGGAGTCGGGCTTGACTCCCTGAAGCTCCAGCTTCTTCTCTGCCAAGTCGAGCTCGAGATCGTCGAGGACGGCGAAATCCTCCTCGTCGTCGCGGGAGGCGTAGACCAGGAGGGTTACGACGCCAGCAGCCATCACAACGATACCGGTGACCATCTTGGGCACATCGAAGCGGGCCCAAAGGTCCTTGCAGATTCGCAGAGTCTCCTCCTGGAACATGTTGAAAAAGCCGTATGCCTCTTGGTAAGACTTCCACTGCCAGGAGCGATCGGCCTTCTTCCAGAGCTGTGACACCTGGCTCGCGGTAGCACTCTTGGTCTGGTCAATGCCACGAGCGGCGAAGTACGAGTCTTGGTAACGCTGGATTCCGGCAGCCGTCATCCGGGACACAGCCGCAAGGTTGTTCCAGTTGTTGCCTTTCCTGCCAGCGAATGCCTCCTCGATGGGGCCTCCCAGGTTGTTATACGGGATGGGAATGCCCATGAGGAGCGCCAGGGTCGGTACGAGGTCGATCTGGTTGACTGGCCTAATCTTCGCCGTGCTGGGTGGCTCTTTGAACTCGGGCTTGGTGCGGCCAAAGAACGGGCGCTTGGAGTACATCCACAGCGTCGCTTCGACCTCATCGTCGCTCTCTCCACCGTGGTCGCCCTTGCTATCCATACCGTGGTCTCCCATGACGACGAGGAGGGTGTCATCGTCGATCTCGGCAGCAAGCTGGCGGATGAAAGTATCCATCTGCTGGAGCTTGGCTGTCATCGCCGGGTGGTTCGGTCCGTATCGGTGTCCCGCATGGTCAACGCCCAGCAAGTGGCCAATGAGAAAATCCCACTTGCCCTTCTCCTCCTTCTTGAGGAGAGGGAAGAGGTGGTCAATCACGCCGTTGTCAACCGTGTGCAGGTCCCAAACGTTGAAGCTGTCGTAAGCCTTGCTTACATTCGCCTCGAAGTAGCCAGGGAACAGCGACAGCCAAGTGTCGTCTCCAAGGTGCACAATCTTTTTATCAGCGTCCTTCAACTGCATAAGCAGATTGTCCTCGTCGATAGCGTTGCCACCGAAGCTGCTGCCAATGTCGATGAATGTCGGAAGTGTGCCGGTGGTCAGGCCCTTCAGCCGCTGGAGTGTTGCTGTCGGCGGGTCGGCGATGAAGGGCCGCAGGAGAGCGTTCTCGGGGGACTTGACCGCCGTCTCATGCAAGAAGGGGAATGCATTGTGAAACGGGGCGTTGTCGTCTACAGGCACCGTAAAGTCGTATCGCAGCGCGTCGATGAGAATAACGACCGTCTTGTCAAATGACTTTGGGTGCCAGCAACCGCCCTCGACAGTCCCCTGGCCCTTCCAGCTCGACACCAGGTCCAGAGGCGGCGCCGTGCAGTTGGACTTCTCGTCCAGCACCAGCCGCGTCAAGAGGAAGCCGCTCGTGAAGAAGATGATGCCGACGGCGTGTAGCAGCAGCATCCAGGTCCAGAAGCCAACGGTCCACCACCACCTGCGCTCGTACACGTCCTTGCGCCGGGCCTCAAAGACCTCCCGCTGCTTCTCCAGCAACGCCAACCTCTCCTTCTCGGCCTGTATCTCCTCAGGCGTCCGACTTGCCTCCTCGAGCTCCTTCTGCTTCTTTGCTCGGGCGTATTGCTCGGCGATCGCCTTGTAATCGGCGGCCGGCGGTCCGGCCGCTTTCGATTTCGGAGTCTTTTGTTGCTGGGGCATCGTGGGACAGGTTCGGATGAACTCGGCTGATTGGTTGGTGTACAAATAGAAAAGGGAAAAAGGAAAAGAAAAGGGATGCGAATCAAGGTTGGCACTCGCTGGCCATTGGACTACGGGAAGCTGGAGCAGCCCCGGTTGGAAGCGTTGTTGTATGCTGCTTGTTGACGCGCAGCTTGGGGGAGAGGTGTCGACTTGCTGAAGAGCTCAAAATTCCAGGTGCATTATGTTCCGGGCGGCCGCACCGGCAGTGACGCGGGTCCAGCTTTGGTGGGGCGGACGGCGTTCCTCAGGGACCAAGGATCTTGCACCTCGGCGACGAACCAGTGAGAGGCCCCGGATTGAAGGTCATCAAGGTGCGGCACTCCCGTTACACTACAGCGCACGATAGCTTCTCCAGTCGATGTCAAGCGATTTCGAATTTAATTTGGGAATGGGAATTGATCAATCATTTTCTATCTCACCATACATCGGCTGTGAGAAAAGCAAGAGAAATCCCAGGTGGTTTTGGTGGTTCTGTGTGTTACTGATAAGCTCAGGTGAGGCCAATTCGTCGCATAGTCATGCTTTTCTAGGCTGCAAAGGCCAACACCCAACGTGGCCGAGGGATACGGGATGCGTGTAATGAACTGAGGACGTGATCCGCCCCCTTTCAAGATGTGCGTGGTTGTGTGTCTATGCTTGCACAATGAATTACTAGGAGGCCTCTTGGGCATGGTTCACCGCCTGGAGTCGCGATGCCTGTGACTGTGATAATCACGATCCCTATCCCTCTCCCGGTCTCTGTCCCGATGCGAGTAACGATCTCTGTCCCCGCGATCCCTTTCTCTGTCCCGGTCTCGCTCGTCCCTGTAGCTCTCTCCCCTCCGCTCCTTGCGCTCGGTACGTCGCTTCTCCTCGTCTCGACGGTACTCGTCCAGTCTCGGCCGGCTACTCTTCTTCTTCCCGCCGTGGTTCCACTGGCCCAGATCCTCCGCGCCTTCTAGCTTCTTCGCGCCGAGGCCGAGCTGATTCTGGCGCCTCTCCGTCGGCCTCTTCTTATTTGGGCCCCGCATTTTGCCATCCCATCCCATACCGCGCAGCAGTGCCGCGCCAAACTCTCCGTCGGGAATCGCATCGTAGTCTGCGAGCGTCGAATCCTCGCCCACATGTTTCAGATCAGCGAGGTATGCGTCTTCCTCGGTCGCCTCAATGACCATCCCCTCCTCGGGCCGCTTCTTCCCCAGAAGAGCGTCCATTGCATCGTCGTCTGCTGTTCTCGGGGCCTGTTTGACTTGCGCCTCCTCAGACCGCCTGTCGTCTTCCTCGCGCCGTCGAGAATCGTTCTCAGTCGCCTCCTCGCTGGTCTTGCGCTTCTTGACGGTCAGGCCCCATTGTATCTCCTTGTCCGCGTCTGCCGGTTCCGTCTCAGCATCCTGCTTGCTTTCGCGCTGTGCTTGCGCCTCGGCTGGCAGCAGATTCTTCCCGCCTCTTCGCCCGCGCAGCTCGTCCTTCCAGTTACGGTTGCTCTGGCTCTTGATGACCAACTCGCGAGGCCTCTTCTCCTTCTTCTCCCTCTCGCCCCCGAATTCTGTGATGGCCTCGTGCCGCCCGCGGTGGTCGCGCTCGCCGTCCGAATCCGAGTCGAAGCCGTGGTTCAGCGCATTCGTACGCGATCTCTTGCCCAGTGATGACGGAGGTTCTGGCCGTGAGGATTTCTTGTTGTTTTGGGATTTCGAGGCTGACGAGCCGCCGAAGCTGATCGCGATCCTTGGCGCCTTTGAGCTGTCGGACATGGTTGCTGGCAGCGGGTGGCCGGATCTTTTTTGGGCCTTTCTGGAGTGGGTTGTTGGTGTTGAAGGCTGGTTCACAAAAGCGCACTGGCTCAGGTTCAACTTTCTCGGGAGGTACGTCAACATGCAGTGATGCGGGTCGGTGTCTTATGTAAGGTGGGGCCCTTTTTACAGCAGATCATCTACAACGACACAGGACAGCTCTATCTAGTGTCATGCCACTACTCGTTACGCCTCCTCTACTTCTTTAACCATGTAACGCTACATTCCTCGCAATGATTTTGTAATTTTTGGTCAGCCTGCTTAGAAGGCAAAGACCTGGTCCTCGAGCTTGCTGACGGGGCGAGCCTTCTTGAAACCTAGGCTCTCCGTAGCCTTCTTGAGACCGCTGACCATGGGCGGGGGGCCGCAGAGCAGGATCTTGACGTCGTCGGCCGGCTTGGGCAGGAGCTCCTATGATGCTTATTAGTTCTGCCGGTGGCATCAGACACGGCAAGGCAACTTACGGTGATCATGTCGGCGGTGACGTAGCCAACACCACCGGTCCAGCCCTGAGGGGGCTTGTCCAGAACGTAGTGCACGCGGAAGCCGCTGTCCTCCTTGGCGAGAGCATCGAGGTCCTCCTTGAGGAGAATGTCCTGGGGCGTGACGTTGGCGAAGATGAGGTCGATCTGGGTCTTGTCACCTGCGGCACGGCCACGAATGACGGCACGGATGATCTGGAGCATGGGGGTGATACCGGTACCTCCGGCGATCATGCCAAAGTGACGGACCATGTTTGGGGTGTAGACGAAGGCACCCTTGGGACCCTTGACCTTGAGCGTCTGGCCAACCTTGAGAGAGGCCATGTGCTTGGAGATGTTGCCGGTGGGGTAGGACTTGATCAGGAGGTCAAAGTAGCCGGGCTGGTGGTCGCCAGAGATGGGGGTGTAGGAGCGCACGATCTCCTTGGAGGTGCCATCGGGCTGGGGGCAGTTGGCGCCGATGGAGATGTGCTGGCCGATAGGAAGGCCAAGAACACTCTTCTCGGAGGGGAGGCCGAAGCGGTAGCTAAGAAAGCTGTTAACTACATGGCCCAGCTCCGGGCGATTGCGGCGACTTACATGGCAGTGTTGTGGGAGAGGATGGTCTTCTCCTTGAGCTCAAAGTCTTGGAAGGCATCCGGCTTGAGGACCTTCTTGATTTCTGCGCGGGGTAGGGTCAGCGAGGCAATTCCGAGCAGCTCCGAGAGGGCCCGAACGTACGCATAGAGTTGAACTTCCACGCAGCGAGCGCAAGCGTCAGGGGAATGGCGTAAATGAGCCATTCGCTCTTGACAATCGTCACCCCAAGGACGAGAAGTCCGGCGGGGATGTAGATGTTGTCGAAGTAGGCACGGGAGGTCAGCGAGTCGGCCATCTTGAAGTCGGCGGCGGTTCCGGGAGCTGTCGGCTCCACAGGAGGTGTACGGGGAAGCTAGCTCGGGGGGGGCCTCGATCTGATCTGGAGAAGAAAAGGACACAGTCAGTTTCACATGTCTTTGGGCCTCGGGCAAGGTCGAGGGCGTGCACTGACTGAGAGGACAGCTGCGGTGACAGAGCTGTCGCAGTCAATTGAGTGAAAGGGGGACGCGGAGCGGAAGGTAGTCAGGGTGTGCGAGCGTGCAACCAGATATCGTAAGATCGCGATGTGGGACAGCCCCTCCACCAATTTTCTGTTGAGTTGCCGAGTTTCTGCCAGCCCTCCAACGGCGGGCGGTCAAGCCTTTTTCGCAGCGATTGCGAGCGTCGGCGGTGCGGAGGCCGGAGACGGGACGCGACTTTGAACCGGATTTGGCAAAATAATCCGACCACTTTGCAGTGGCCGCCCCCGATCTCGGGTTCGCGAAACCTTGAGATGCGTCAGTGGCTTGCAGCTTCGGTACCGCAAAAATACGTGGCTGTGCAAGCTATGCGAGTGGCTTGGCTTGAGGACTTCAGCCACACCCAACGCGACGCCACATTACCCCAGGTCAGAGGCGCGATCAACATGAAGATCAACACGGCTGGCAGAACCGAGGACGCCGAGCTGCAGGAGCTCTGCCTCTCTTAATCCATCGTCGTACTCGCCTCGATGCTAATCGCATATGATATTAGGCACATCCGAGGTTCAGCATTCATGACATCATAATCATGTTCTGCAATCCCTTGCGAATCACCGCTCCAAAGAAGCCAGTACGAGAGCCAATGTCTGCGCATTGCACGATAATTCCCGGGCAAACCAACGACCGTCCCTGTTCAACTGTGGCATGATTGCTGATTTCCACTGAGCCCCAGGCCGCAGGGCAGATTGCGGAGAGTCTCGGCACACCCGCCGAATGGTGAAATCAGATATGTCAAGCTGCTGCATGCAAGTTGGCTGGCGCAGGGGACGGCGGCGTCAGAGTTCCGCGAGGCTGCGACTGAAGCCTCCAAAGTCGAGCTGTCAACTGCATTTCGAAAGTCGAGAAAAGTCAATTGCACATGGAGGCTGCCTTGCTAATGTCCTGCCCGGACCCGAGGATCCGGTCCGTTCGAGCTACCATTGAAGGAGTACAGTAGCTCGTTGGCATTAGCCCGGCGCGAGTCGCCAGTCGACTAGGTGTCGATCGATTGAAAGCGCACTCATCGAGCCGTGACATCACCATGGCTGTTGACGCGACAGTGACACGAAAGTCGGAACCCGTCCCTAGCGGCAAGCAGCTAGGCATTCTAGTGACGGACGCTGGCAGCACGGAAGCATAAGAGGATTCAGGCAGGAATGCTGCTGCTATAGGTATGCAAGACATACCGCGTGGGTTGTTGGTGAGGGATTCGTACGAGACGGGGGAGTCGGCCGGAAACATAGCTTGGAACCGACAAGCGTTCCACGCGTAGGAGTGTGGTGGCATTCTGCAACGGATCCAACCAATGACACCTTTTGTTCCCAGTGAAGAGCATCTGTCGACGACTTGGACTGGAAACGGGGTAAAATAAACTCGGTTTGAGGTAGGACGGCACCGTCGTACGGGCAAGACAACGAGTCGAGCTGCGTGGGATTAATAGGTCTTGGCCGATAGCGGTTGTTGAATGAGACCGGCCGAACAGACGAGCGGTGCCGGATGTCTACGGCAGCCTGCAGGGCTCACTAGGTTAAAATTCAGAAATTACCTAATACAGATAAACCCTAAGGCTATAGCTATATTACTATATAAACCTAAGTCAGCTATAAACAATTAAATATAGATATAGATTT